ATGGCAAAGCAGTGGAAGGGCCCAAGATGTGTAATGAGGACAGGATGATGGAAGACGGACCTGAGTCTGTGTGGGTATTATAATTGTGTATGTAAGTGTGGGGCAGTGACTTGAGGGAATTGTCTTAGCACTATAAGGCTGAGTGTGCTAAGGGTCAAGGTGAGGTGTGATTCTCCACTAGGAAAGGGAATATGAGACCCCAGAAGGTTCAGGATGATACTGTGTTTGGAGCTTTATTGACTGCTGTTGTGCATTTTGAGCCATAGCGCCACTTTGCCATTGAGGGGAGAGTCAGAGCAGCCCGAGGTTTGGAATATGCTAGTCAGCACAGAACAGAATATGCTAGTGAAGAAAGACAGTGTTCATGTCCGTAGGGCACTGGAGTGTGTTGAAGTTCCTGGAGTGCTGATGGGGTAGAACTGTGGAAGGAATCTGGTGTGTAGTAGGGGGATTAGGCCTATGAGGGGATGCAAGTGAACCAGCAGGGATTATGGCTGTGGAGGGGTTGAAGCAAAGAGTAGTAGAGGACAGGAACATGTGATAGCGTGGACGTACTAAAGTGGACTGTAACCATGTGTGTGCTAATGGGGGTCAGGGATGAATGGAGAGCTGTGTGCACTAATGAGGATCAGGCTGTTTTAGAATAGTGTGTTTTTGTGTCCCTGAGGAACAGAGCTGAGTAGTTAGTTCAGGGTGTGCTAAGGGGAGGCAGGACTGTAAGGTCCAGTCTGTGCTAATGATAAGGGTCAGGGTACAGTGAAGGTCATGCTTGGAAAGGTCCTGATTGTAAGTGAAACTAGCCAGGCACCTGCAAGTTTCACTTTGTCCTAATGCAATTCAGAGCTGTGTGAAGTCTGATAAGCACTCATTGAAGTCAGCTGTGGAGCACCCCAAGTGCAAATTAGGGTCCAAATCACATAGGGGAGCTGTAGGTTAATGGGAGGGAGTGCTATGAAGAAGCTAACAGGCATCTGGGCCAGGGAGCAGTTTAAGAATGTGATGGAAGCTGGGCGTGGTAGTGGCACTTGCCTGTAATCCCAACACTAGGGAGGCTGAGGCAGAAGGATTGCTGAGTGTTCGAGGCCAGCCTGGGCTACATAGTGAGTTTGAGGCTAGCCTGAACAACATAACATAGCGAGACTCTGTCTCTAACCAAAAACCAAAAGCAAACCAAAAAGAATGTGGTGGTAAGAGTTTCTTAGAGGGGACTGAGTGTATGTCAACAGATTTCATTGTAATAGGTTAGAGCTTTGAGTGCTGATGGGAGTTAGAGATAAAAGGAGACATCATGGGTGCTGATGGGAGTTAAGGTGCAGTGAGGCCACTTGAGAGTGGATGTGTATCCATGACTTTTGGACAGAATGGGGAGGTGTGTGCCTATGGAAGTAGTAGAGTGTGATGACTGTGTCTTCAATGTTCTATGTGGTATGAGGTGGTAAATATGCTTGAGTATGAGAGTAGTCTGAGGATGGATGTGAGTCCTTAGGGGTCAAGATGGACATAGGACCTTTTGGGGTGGAGCTGTATGTCCAGTTCCTTGCTGTGTCCTTCACTTATTCTGAAATCAATATGCTCAGAAAACTGAAATGATAATATTTAAAAGTTTTGCTGCATATAAATAAATGTCCAGGTGTCTCTGTTCACAGGAACCTGCTGAGCCCTCCCCCACTGGAAGTATTGTGTAATATACAGATTTTGTGTCCCATTTTCCTCAATCCCCCCAAAATTGAATTCCAGTGTGTCCAACCCTTGGGGGTTCCATTTAGAGGTCATGGACCCATGGTTCCTCCTGCCTCCCTTTCTAACCTACATTCAGTTCTACTTATGGTTCTTCCTAGCCCTTCTCCCTATTCCCTGTCACCCTATGGAAAACAACTGGGTATCTGTGCCATATGGGACACACAAGGTAGTCTTTGGGAGCTGGCCATGCTTCACCTTCCCCAGCCTTAGGTGCACTTTTTGGCCTCCAGCGTCGGAATTTTGTCGTCATTATCCTGAGTTCTCTGTGGTGGACCTCATCCCCTGAGGTCAGTCTTTCTGCTAGGCTGACCCCTCATCCTCTCTTGGGGGCAGTGAGTCCAGCCAGGCCGAAGAGGAGGTGGGAACTGCTAGGGTAAGCACTTGATTTCAAGGTAACAGATGACCCATTTCTCTCCTCAAATCCAGCCCCAGCCTCATCCTCGTCCTCCTATCTAGCTGTACTTCCCTTAGGCCCAGGGCCATCTTAGGCCCTGCTGTGAGTCCAGATGGTTCCTGGGCCATGTCTTTCCCCCTCCTTGCTGGCATAGAGCCCAGGAGGAAGCAGAAGAAGGCCAACCTAAAGCTTTTGATGGGCCTTTTCCCTCCAGCAGCCCATCTAGGCCATCTTTTTGTTGATTCCAGCATTCCTGGGCTAACTTGCTTGGGGTTGTTCATGAATAGTGGGGACTTACCACCTCAGGAGAGGTTGATCCTAGGCCCTCAGCCCCCTGATTCATTCATTTCTGCCACATGCACTTTTTTTTTTTTTTTTTTTTTTTTTTTTTTTTTTTTTTTTTTTTTTTTTTTTTTTTTTTTTTTTTTTTTTTTTTTTTTTTTTTTTTTTTTTGGTACCGGGGATTGAACTCTGGTCCTTGCGCTTGTGAAACAGGTGGCGGCACCACTGAGCTAAATCCCCGGCCCCACATGCACTTTTTGAGTGTCTATTCTGTGTCAGTCACTATTCTAGGTCCTCAGGATATAGCCGTGACCTAAACAGACAGAAATCTACTCTGGTGGAGCTGATCTAGTGGCCGTGAGGAGACAGACAGTAAAGAGCAAAGAAACCAATAAGTAGATGGTGTCATTTCTGAGGAGGTGATGAGTGCTGGGGGGAAATCACTGGCAAGGTGAGGGAGCTCAGAATGGTTGAGATTTTCAGTACGATTATTCATGGTGGCTTCATGAAAACATTTGAGCAATGGTCTGAAGAGGGTGGGGAATTAACTATTTCACAGCTGGAGAAAGGGTGTTCCAGGTACCAGGAACATCCAGTGCAAAGACCCCCTGAGGTGGGCCTCTACTGGGTGTAATTGCAGAACAGCAACTAGGAATGATCAAGGGGATGTTGACGCCTGATATATAATCAGGTGAAATAGGCTAAGAATGGTGGGCCACATTGAGGACTGGGGCATTGATTTGGAGTGAGATGGGAAATGTGGGGTACATTCTCAATTTGAGGAGAAATGTGACTTGGCTTATAAAAATACAGGGTCGGTCCTGTGGTTTCCAACTTGATCATACCTTTCCAGTGACCCTGAGGACAGCTGGTGTGCCCTGAGACACCCCCACAATCCCACCCAGGATCTCCTTCCCCCTACCTGGGTAGAGCAGTGGTATGGTCCTCTAGTCTCCATAACAATGGTTGCTGTGGGGAGGCAGGAGGGTCCCTGTGGCCTCAGAGAGCACTCTGCCTTGGTAGTTGGGGGTAAGGTGGGGCTGGTATCAGCAGAAGATGCCATTCTATAGGCACAGCCAAGGCCGTATCAATGGTCTCACTATTCTTGGCCAGCTCCTTGTTCCACCTATGGCTGGGTCTGTCACTGATGCTGCCCCTGAAGATGCGTGCTGTGGAGTTCTCTGCTCCCACAGTGAGGCTACCACTGTAGAGACCAACAATCCCCTGGTTGGGCCTTTGCCCTCAGTCAGCTACACAAGTCTGAGGATCCAGGTGCGCTACTCAGGAGTAGGTTCCCAAGGGGCTGGCTGTGGGTAGGCTGATAATGACAAGGGACTCTAACCTTGACATATTTCCAGAAATCCTGAGTTTTTCCGCGGGTCTGTAGTGGGTGGTTGGGCTCTAATACATGATCATGTCAATGCCTCCCACTGGGTTGTCAGAGGCTTTAAAGGGCTGTGGTGTTCAAGCTAATGTGGGCCCTTCTGTCTATCTGTGCCCCTGCTCAGGTCGCCATGGATCGGATGAAGAAGATCAAACGGCAGCTGTCAATGACACTCCGAGGGGGACGAGGCCTAGACAAGACCAATGGTGCCCCTGAGCAGATAGGCCTGGATGAGAGTGGCGGGGGTGGTGGCAGTGACCTTGGAGAGGCCCCCACATGCATACCTCCTGGTGAACCTCGCTGTGGACGGGGCCCACTCAGCTCTGCACCAGGTGGGTCCGCTGACTGTTCCCTATCCCCACCCTCAGTTCCCAGGTGCTGCCTTCCAGCCAAATTCCTGTAGAATTTTGTTGTTTTCATTTTCCTTTTTCCATTTTCTCCCCCTTCCATATTTTCTTTTTCAATACCCTCTTGTCTGTCTGTCTGTCCATTTGTGCCCCTTTCCTTGGCTTTGTGTCCAGGCCCCAGGGGGAGGAAGGGTTCCTTGCCTGTTGCAGCTGCCCCAAGGCTCCCTCTGCCCTTCTCCTGCACTCCGCGGTGGCCCTCCCAGGCCTCCCGGCGCCAGCCCGCCCTGGGCCTGCCTTCCCAGGGCTCTTGGCTACCTCTGCCGTCACCTGCCTTCTGGCCCTGGGCCAGCCGCAGTCTCAGCTCACCCCTGGAACGGGGTGCTCCACCAGGTGACTATTGCTCTCCCACTCTGTATAACCTGTCCTGGGCCTGCCTGGGCTTCCCTGGGCCCCACCACCCTCTCCCTGAGGGACTCCAGGCTGCTCCAGGGGCCATGTGCACATCTGGGTGTGATAAGGGAATACATTATGTGGGGGAGGGGGTTTTCTTGACCCCACCTGGCGTGCCCTCCTCCTTTCCCTGCCACCAGAGATTGTACATGAGGACTTGAAGATGGGGTCTGATGGGGAGAGTGACCAGGCTTCAGCCACATCCTCAGATGAGGTGCAATCTCCAGTGAGAGTGCGCATGCGCAACCACCCCCCACGCAAGATCTCCACTGAGGTGCTTAACCCTCATCCTGGTGATGGAGGAGCTGGAAAAGGGGGTTAGATCTGGAGAGGTGGAGCTCATGGTCCTGTTTCTTCCCTGGTAGGACATCAACAAGCGCCTGTCACTACCAGCCGACATCCGGCTGCCCGAGGGCTACCTTGAGAAGCTGACCCTCAATAGCCCCATCTTTGACAAGCCCCTTAGCCGCCGCCTCCGCCGTGTCAGCCTGGTGAGCACCTTCTGTTCCTGTCCTGTCCTCTTCTTCCTCCTTGTCTCCACTGCCTTCCCCTGAGTCTGCTTTAACCTGCTTCCTTCACCCTACAGTCTGAGATTGGCTTTGGGAAACTGGAGACATACATCAAGCTGGACAAGCTGGGTGAGGTGAGAGACAGGAGGCTCTTTTTAGGTTAGAGGTCAGTGGGAACTCTGCAGCCTCATAGTGCCACTTCTGTCACTTGCTCACATCCCAGGGTACCTATGCCACCGTATACAAAGGCAAAAGCAAGCTCACAGACAACCTTGTGGCACTCAAGGAGATCAGACTGGAACATGAAGAGGGGGCACCCTGCACGGCCATACGGGAAGGTACAGACCCCATTTCATCTGCCTTTAGGCTTTTCTTACTCCGATACACACACTTTCTCTGTGGTAAGGGCATAGAGGCTGGGGGTTCTGGGACATCTGCCCCCACCACTCTGGACTTTGTGAGAATGCCCATCGCCCACATATCCAGGTCATAATCAGGGTAATCAAAAATTTATGAATGAACCAAGGCAAGTGGACAAATTGCAAACCATGCTGCTCACTTTGGTGCTAAAAGTACACCTTAAAAGGCTCACAGTATTACATGGGATGGATTTTAATCACATAAAAAGTGGGTATACAAACCCAGCTTTACAATGTGCTGCTGGCCTGTGTGATGAGGGCTAGAGCAAGGCTCCTTGCCCAAAACACGTTGTGTAAATTCAGTGTCACATGAACCTGTGGCTGTAGTCCTGGGTCCCTGCATGGTACTCTTCTCTGGGCCTTATATTCCATATCTGGAACATGGGCACACTTCTTTCCTAAATAGCATGGGGAAAGAAGCAAACCTGGGCTCATCTATCTGGTTCTTATCCTCACCTTGGTCCTGGCGGCAGGCTTGACTCTTGCCCCATCCCATTCCCATGTTCCTGCAGTATCCCTGCTCAAGGACCTCAAACATGCCAACATCGTCACACTACATGATATCATCCACACAGAGAAGTCTCTCACCCTTGTCTTTGAGTACCTGGTAAGGTTGGGTAGCAGTGGGCCCTGGCAGGAGGTGGGCAGGTGGTCAGCAGCCACACGATGTGATCTTCATTCCTGTACTGTCTCTTTTCTCTTCAGGACAAGGACCTGAAGCAGTACCTGGATGACTGTGGGAACATCATCAACATACACAATGTGAAAGTGGGTGTGGGGCAGGAAGCAGGGGCAGGAGGGGGCCCCCATTCACCCACTCCACCTCACCCTACAGATCCCCAAAAGCAGCCTTTTTCCATTAGGCTTTTTTGCTGGGAGCCTGGAGGGCATTGAGAATCTATCTTTTTTTGTGTGACTTAGCTCAGGGCTTGGTGTCTGTTTGGGAGGGATTGATGCCTGCTTGCCAGGGGTTGGACTGCTGGATACTCTTTGACCTCTGCCTGCTATTCCTGGGTCCCCAGCTGTTCCTGTTCCAGCTGCTCCGTGGTCTGGCCTACTGCCACCGGCAGAAGGTGCTACACCGAGACCTCAAGCCCCAGAACCTGCTCATCAATGAGAGGGGAGAACTCAAGCTGGCTGACTTTGGTACCACCAGTCTCCCACTTCCTGTTGATCCCCCAGCCATACTCTCTTCCTGTGACTGCCTAGCTAGTCTCATGCCTTCAGCCTCTCCAGACTTTATCTAGGGCACCCTCAGTCCAAACTATCCTTTCCCTCAGACTGCCAATGGTCTCATTTTTCCAGCTGCCCCTTCTCTTCAATTCCTAGGCCTGGCCCGGGCCAAGTCAATCCCAACGAAGACCTACTCCAATGAGGTAGTGACACTTTGGTACCGGCCCCCTGACATCCTGCTTGGGTCCACGGACTACTCTACACAAATTGACATGTGGTGAGGAGAGGTGAAAGTGTAGCAGTGGCCAGGCAGTGAAGGGGGTGGCTTCATTACAACAGTCACCTAGCTGGTTGCCTCCTTATTTACTGTGCCTTCCCTGCCCAGGGGTGTAGGCTGCATCTTCTATGAGATGGCCACAGGCCGGCCCCTCTTCCCAGGCTCCACGGTGGAGGAACAGCTGCACTTCATCTTCCGCATCTTAGGTGAGGAGGCATATACCCTAGGAGCTGTGACAACATGCAAGGAGGACCAGAGATGTTTGGAGTAACTCTTCTTTCCTGTCAGGAACCCCAACTGAGGAGACATGGCCAGGCATCCTGTCTAACGAGGAGTTCAAGACATACAACTACCCCAAGTACCGAGCCGAGGCCCTTCTGAGCCACGCACCCCGGTGAGGCTGCTGGGTGGGTGGGTGAGTGGGTATTAGGGGTCAGAGTGCCCAAACTCGACGTAAAGCAGGTCCCCTTGTCCTTGCGGTAGACTTGATAGCGACGGGGCTGACCTCCTCACCAAGCTGCTGCAGGTGAGAATACATTTCTGGACCAGCCTTGGGTGTGGGGGGATTCCAGGTATGGGGAAACAAACCCCCCAGGGTAGGATCTGAGGCAGACAAGAAAAAAGACCTATTTGTTGAAAATACCAATATACCCTCCTCCCCCAACTAGTTTGAGGGCCGAAATCGGATCTCTGCAGAGGATGCCATGAAACATCCATTCTTTCTCAGCCTGGGGGAGCGGATCCACAAACTTCCTGACAGTGAGTGGAGCAGGGGAATGGTTGGGCTGAGGCAGGGACTGTGGGAAACAGACTGCTGGGCACAGCTGAGCAGGTTGTGTAGGGTTCCGGCTGTGCCATCTCTAAGGAGGAAGGGACATCCTCGTTGACATGTGTGATAGGTTATCTTTATTATAAAAATTCTTTTTAGTTTTCAGTTCCTTTTCCTTTCATGAAAATTTTCAAAACATACAGTACATAAAAATAAATACCACTGGGCATGGTGCATATGCCTGTAATCCCAGCAATTGGGAGGCTGAGGCAGGAAGATCGCCACAAATTCCAAGCCGGCCTGGTTTGCATAATGAGTTTGAGGCCAGCCTGAACGATATGGTGAGACGCTGTCTCAGAACAATGCAATAAAACTTTAATTTTTAAAAATAGACATTTCCTTTAATATATATGGTACAAAATATACAGTTTACAAGTGTTTTCACAAACTAAACACACCCATGTAACTGTGTGAACAATAGATGCTCCCCCAGAGCTCCTCACCTTGTGTTATTCTAGTCCCCCTTCCCAATAGGAACCGCTGTTTTGATTTTTTTCCTTATTTTGGGGTGAGGGGTTTGGTACCAGGGATCAAACTTGGGACCTTGCACTTGTGAGGTAGGCATAGTGCCACTGAACTAAATTCCTGGCCAGAATATTTTTCTAGTACTTGAGATGCAACCCAGGGCCTTGTGTGTACTAGGCAAGCACTGTAGCACTGAGCTACTCCTCTAAATCCTGCTGTTTTCAGTCCTACTGGTTTTTTTTTTGTTTGTTTTTGTTTTTGTTTTTGTTTTTTGTACTGGGGATCAAGGCAGGTGGCAGAACCACTGAACCAAATCCTGGGCAGTCTACTGTTTTGATTCCTAACAGCATAAGTAAGTTTGCCCTGCCCTTGCACTTTATAGAAATAGAATCATAATGGGATATTCTCTTCATATTAAAAAAACCTTTTTGGGCTGGGGATTTAGCTCAGTGGTTCCACTGCCTGCCTTGCAAGCATAAGGACCCGAGTTTGATCCCCAGTACCAGAACAAAACAAAAAACAAAAAAAGCTTTTTAATATAGACATTTCCAAATTATACATACTTATATATTAGATAAAACAATATGATGGGCCACATGTACTCCATCAACTTATCAGCTGGTGGCAAAACTGGTTTTCTTTATTTCCCTCTGATTATTTTGTATCAAACCCAATCCCAGGTATCATATTCATCCTTAATTTCAGCATGTATGTATAAAAGACTTTTAAAAATAACTGTCATCATCATACCTAAAAAAATGGCTCACCAGTCTTCTCACTGGATTAGTATATAAATCAAATCCCCAAGCCCCTCGTGATAGCCCATGCCTGTAATCCCAGCACTCTGGGGGGTTGAGGCAAGGAGGATAGCCTTGAGTTCAAGGCCATGCTAAACTGCATAGCGAGACCCTGTCTCAAAAAAATAAAAATAAAAAATAAATCCCCAAATACTACCCATCCTTGGACATAACAGATGGTACTTGTAATACCATATCATACCTGACACATCCAGTTAATGATTTCTTTGTTTCATGCAGTATTCCATATCCCATCTCCTCTAGTAGTGGGAATTATTTGACAGATTAAAGTCAAACCTCTCAAAGCAGGGGCAACTCATTTTAATTCCCACAGTGAGGTCACGTGGGGGGTGGTCCTGGATAGCCCCATGAGTCACCCCCACATCTGTGTCTCCTCCACCCACAGCTACTTCCATATTTGCACTAAAAGAGATCCAGCTACAAAAAGAGGCCAGCCTTCGGTCCTCATCAATGCCTGACTCAGGTAGGTATGCTCCCACATCTCCCTCTCCCTCACCCACCAACCTGCTTGCCTACCAACAGCCGTCGCTCTGCTTTCCCTGCAGGCAGGCCAGCTTTCCATGTGGTGGACACCGAGTTCTAAGCCACGTTCTAAGCCACAGACCGAGGCCCCAGCAGGCAGCAGCTGGAGGGATGCCACTCCCCTCACAGGGCAGCCCCAACTGCATTCTCCCTGCTTGCTGCTTGTTTACCTGCCTGAGCCACGCTCGCCTGCCCACTTGTTCCCTGGCATCTGCCCAAACATCCTACCATTGGCCTGTCAACCCACCCATTGGCCTGTCTGCTGGGTGCTAACAAAGCTCTCATCACCCCTCTGCTTGGTCTGTCTCTCTCTGTCTCAGTAGTTGCCGGCGGACAGCATGGCCGTGGCAGCCTCCCACACTGAGGCCAGGCCTACCCCTCCTCGTCATACCCTCCCCCACGACCACTATCCCTCGGCCAGCCAGGGGCTCTCGACTCAACACAAGAAGGTAGAGGTGCCTTGGGTCTTAGGCATCCTCTGCCTGCTTTCCTGCCTGTCTCACCTGCCTCATGTTGTGTGGGCCTTTTTTGTTTGTTTGTTTGTTTCATTTGTTGTTTTTTTTTTAATATTTTAAATGAGGTTTTCATTCTTTTAAATGCAATATCTCTGTATACAGACTGGCTGGGCCCCACCTCCCTGTGTGTGGTCCTCCCACAGTATTTTGTGCAATGAAGCCCCACTCCCAGCCTTTCAGAGGCAGGGCCACACACAGCCCCTATTTGGAACCCTGACTATACCAGACCCTGGGATTGGCTATGGGAAAGCATGCCTCTGCCACTCGCCTTCCTCCTCCCCACCTGCTATCCCCAGCCACAGGGGGATCTGGGAACTATTGGGGATTCTGGGAGATGGACAAGGTGGGGCCCCACTCTTCCTCCTGCAGTCCTGTAGCCAGGGCCTCCTTCCTTCTCAGGGTCTCCCCAGCCCAGCCCTCCTGCCCTTTCCCACTTGGTGCTGTTGAGTAGGGGCCCTGCCAGGAACTGAACAACTCAGTGAGGAGCCATAGTGTGTATATGTGCACAAGCAGGGACAGAGGGGCATATGGGGGTTGCGCCCGGGCACTGCCCCCTAACCCCTGGGAGGGTGAGGCAGGGCAGGGACAGTCTCCAGGGTCAGTCCCTGGATGGGTGGTTACCTCCCCTTCCTCTACTCTAAGCCCTGGGGCCCTTAAATGGGGTGGGAGGGCAGGGGTGGGAGCCCTCCTAGTGGGATTTGGGGGGTTGGGTTCCTGAATGCACCATAATCGCTGTATGAAATATTAAAAGTCTAAAATGAAAAGCCTGATTGCAAATCCCTGTAAGGGGGTGGGGCTCAAGCTGGGGTGATTGCTAGGACCTTGAATTCATATCTGGTCCCAGTCATCTGAAAGTGCATCAGAGTGGGCCAAGGACATAGCGCAAGCATGAAAAAGGCCTCTGAGGGATTGCACACATAATGGTGGAATGGTTGAAGCAGGCAGGGCAGGAGGACTAGGTTGATAGGCTGAGAATCAAACAGAAAGAGGAGTTAAACTTATCCAGCAATATGAGGAATCCTGATAGGGTGGAGGCAAGAGGAAATAGAGTGGCTAAAGGTCACTGGGGGACCCAGTGGAACCAGGGTGGGTAGAAGAGGCAGGCCCAGTGTGACCACTACATACCCAACTACAACACTATGAAGAAGGCTAATTGGAGAGGGAATGAGGGGAGGGTAAATTTTTTTTAAGAGTGGGAAGATACTTATTGGTAGGAAATCTGCTATGGGACAGGAGGGGTCCCGAGAGTGGAGCCAGGGGCCCCACTTTACAGAGAAGTTTATAGGGTGAAACCCATGTGGGTACAACATGGACCACAGCCGTTAGCATCCAGTCCTTAGGTGGTGGTGTCCAATTGGGAAGAAAGGTAATGAGCATGGAAGGAAAGAACAAGATTCTCCCAGGAAGTAGGGATCCAGAGGTTGCTGCTCACCACCAGGGTGGCTGACACTTGTCTAGGCTTTGTTAGGCCTGGTGTTTGCTCTCTGAGGAAGTGTGCAGGTCTGGTCAGCTTGTCTTTATCCTGAGGCCCAGTTTTCAGCCAGTGTGTCTCCGGGACAGCTGCGGTGTGTCTCATCTTCGTCCTGACTCTCAAGCACACAGCCCTAACTGATTGATCATCTGTGGTATTCCTACCTAACTCTTCCATCTGTAATTCCAGTGTTTGGGAGGCTGAGGCAGGAGGATCCCTGTGAGTGCCAGGCCAGCCTGAGCTACATAGACCCTGTCTCAGAAGAAGAAAAAACCTCAAATCAGCTGTATTTGAAAGCAGTACCTGTCCTTTTAAAAATTTTTTTTGATTTTTTGGTACCAGGGATCAAACTTGGGACCTTGGGCTTGCAAGGCAGGCAGCAGAACCACTGAGCTAAATCCCCAGCCCAAAAGCAGTCCTTTTAAAAATTCTTACTGATGTGCTGGGGAACAAACCCAGGACTTTGCATGGCTAGGGAAAGTGCTCAGGATCCCCAGCCCATCAGTCTTTCCTGGCTATGACACTGGACTGGAAGAGCAGGCAGCTAAGCCGGGCCTGGTTGCACACGCTTATAATCCCCACAGTCTGGGAGGCTGAGGCGGGAAGACCGTAAATTAAAGCCCAGCCTTGGCAACCAAGTGAGTTGGCAAGATCCTGTCCCAGAATAAAAAAGGAGCTGAGGTGGGGCTCAGTGCAGAGGCCCTCTATTCAGTCTCCAGACCAGAATGGAAAGAGTAGGTGTTTGTACTCAGAGCCCTGTGTGTGGACAACCAGTGCCATCCAAAGCAAGTGACCATGCCACAGTCTAGAGAAGTTTGCATCTTTGAGATGAGCTTCAGCCAGTTTTTTTTTGTTTTTTTTTTTCATTTGCGAGACAGTCTCACTTTGGAGTATAGGCTCAAATACCATTGTCTTTGGGGACTCCCAAGTGAAAAGGGTGTTCCTTTTTCCCCCACAGGACTTACCCAACTGAGTATGTGACCCCTCATCTGTGACAGGTCTGGGCTGGGACTGGAATGATAGTAATAAAGACACAATCCCTGCCCCACAAAGCTTAACTAAAAATAGGTAAATTATGAGGAGGGTTGAAATTGTACAAGGAGACAGACCTGTATACACATGGGCCTAGAGATATGAAAAAGCAGTTTGTTCTTGTACTTGGCAACTGGGTGGTAATAGTGAAGGAATCACCTAAACAGCCTTTAAATCATGAGCCTGTCTCCAGGGAGTTTGTAGGATGGCCAGGTGGGGACAGACAATAGGCTGGTAGATGCAAGGAGCCAGAGATTAATACTAAAATCACCACCAATCAGGAGGGCTGGGAGCCCTACCAGAAAAAAGGGTAACAGTATACTGCAGTGGTTCTCAACCAGAGACTCCTTTAACCCCCAGGATATCTGGTAATGTCTGGAGGGAGATACTGGTACTGAGGTTGGTACTGAGGGGTATACCAGTGTCTAATGATAATGCCACAAATGCAGCTGAAGAGCCTGAGATACACCCTGCTGAGGTTAATAAACCCTGGGGCCAAACTGGGAGCGGTCACCTGCCTCCACAGCCTGGGCTACATAGTGAGTTTAAGGCCAGCTTGAACTACATAGTGAGACCTTGTCTCAAACAACAACAAAAACAAAAAAAGAAACCCTGGGGCCTAGTGCATTGATTGTCTAATTTTTGGTTTTGTGGTCCCTTTATAAATATTGAGGATACCCAAAGAGCCTTTGCTTATGTCAGTAGCCTCTGGATAATTCCCCTCTACACTCATAAGATTGAAAAAGTATTGTGAAAACAGTTTTGATTTTGATTTTGTGAAGCCCCTGAGAGAGGTTTCTCTGGCCTGATATTTACGGTCTCAGCTTTGGAACCAGAGTTCCTAAGTTGGAACCACAGCTCCAGCACTGAACTAGATGGGGGGACAAGGGAGTTAATTCTGGCCCTCAGCGACTATATTGTTGCCAATGGGGACAAAGAGAGTACCTGCTGCCTGAGGCTACTATTTTTGTCCAACAAAGCACTTAGATTGGGCAGAGGACTAGCTATTTATTGCTGTGAGTCCAACAAACAACAGCACTTGGGGCTGACTGCTTAGGCGTAGGTGGCTCTCTGGAGGGAGAGACCTCCTTTGCATTGGGTTTTGATGAATGAGAAGGGTAGTGCAAAGAAAGGAGGGCACGGCGAGGCTATGCCCAACAAAAATGCCGCTCCCAGGGTTGGGATCTGTAGTCCTTGGCAGAACATAGGGTAGGGACAGCTGGGTGCGTTTGTGAGTCCCCTGAGGCTTCCCCAACTTGCCCATCATGCAACCTTTTGCCCTAACTCTACCTGGCGTTAGACTCTTTTGCTTAGTTTCCAACTGCAAGTTTTACCTCGGGTATTGGCCGCACAGATTAAAGCGCACGGCCTGATAACCTGCCTAGTCCTTTGACGCATCCAAGCGTTGGGCCCCTTTCCTGTTTGGGGGGCTCTACTTCCGTTTCCGGTATCAGCATCCGGAAGTGGCTGTTGAGGGTCTTCCTCCGGTCTTCAGTTGCACTGGTAGTCAGAGAACGGACGGCGATGGCGGCGGTCACAGCGGACCCAGCCGCCGCTGCCTTTGCGGCAGCCGCTGAGGACAGAGAGGCACAGCGTGAGGAGATGCCTGGCCTGGAAGAACAGTGGAACCAAATCGAGAATGGCGAGAGTGGGCGTGAGCGTCCACTGCGGGCCGGCGAAAGCTGGTGAGGAGACTAGGCTGCAGCGAACCCCTGGCTAAAGGGACTGTGGGGGCGTTGGCGACCGCGGGGGATTTGGAAGCCGAGGTCTGAGGACGAACCGCTGCGGGGTCGAGGCCGAGGGACAGCGGGCGAGAGGGGCGGGGAAGCGCTTGTGAATGAATCACAGCGTCTGGGAAGGAGGCGGGACCAGTGTGGTGCGGGCTGAAGGCTGAGAATAAAATGGGGTTTATATGTGGTGCAGGCGGGGCCTGAGAGGAGAGTGCAGTGCTGAGGAGACCTGTGAGGAAAAACTGGGAGAGAGGCGGGCCCTGTAACGTAGGACGGAGGGCGTGCCCAGCATAACTTGAAAGTAGTGTCGGAGTGAGGAGCAGTGAGCCGCCCGCCATTGCTCTCGGGCGCGTGCAAACTGGGCGAGCTTTGTGACATTCGCTGAAGGCAGAATCGGGAGCCAATGGCTGTGCGTTGGGGGAGGGAGCAAAGGTTTAGGTCGGGAAGGAGCTTGGCGCCTTGGAAAGCGGCCCGGCGTTTGACGCAATCAAGGGGGCGTGGCTCGAGGCCTAGGAAAGGGCGAGGAGGCTGTGCTTAAGGCAGAAAATGGCGCCTTTGAGTGAGTAAAGTTTGTGGTAAGGCGAGGAGGTCATTTACTCCGGCGGAGGTTTTCGTCTAGGAGGAGAGAAAGTACAGGTGATTAGCACAGGAGAGACCTTAGATATTAATTTTTTTTTCGATTTAAGTACTTCTTTAATCAGGAGAAAATTCTTATTTAAAAAGGCAATCCACATCTTGATAAATCATCTAGTTTTAATAATTTCCTTGCTAATTAGTGTTTCTTGAAATTCACTGCTTTTGGATTTTTAATTTCTCCCGAGTTGCATCCCGTTATTTAAATTGTGAAATATGGGGCCGGTCGTGGTGGTGAACGCCTGTAATCCCAGCACTGGGAGGCTGAGGCAGGAGGATTGCTGCGAGTTTGAAACCAGCCTGGGCTATATAGTGAGTTCAGGACCAGCCTGAACTACATGGCAAGATCCTGTCTTAACACCCCCCCACACACACACACCACCAAATTGTGAAATACAAAGACCTACAGAAATTATAGTATA